ATATAATGTTATGATAGCGATATATTCGTACCTCTTTTTAAAATATTTATCAAAGACATGAGGTTTTATGAACATAAATTCATCAAGGCCATACACTTTTTCAAAACATTTTACAAGAGAGTTAGTCTCGTTAGAATGCATTCGTTGTATTTATCAAGACTTCGACTTCACTTCTATGGTACAAGTTCCAGAAAATGAGGTTGGGATTCCCACGTCGGGCTCAAGTCGATCAAAAAAGTTGTATAACGACAAGCTTGTGATAGTTCAAACAACTTTTGAAATAAAAAAAAGGTTTGATGAGATATCTGCTGAAGCAATTACGAGATTTTCAGGAAATAAGGATGTCAAAATAAGTTCTCTTCAATAAAAGTCTAAAAATCGCAATTATTTCGCGTGTAGCAATAAACAAGTTTTTGCTCAAGGGTCCTTGCGTCAGAATTTTTCTCGATATATATAGCACTACTCACTTAACTACTGATTTTTTAATCATGTATGATATAATATTCATTATGTAATCACTGATCAAGCGTTATATTCCTGATTAAATTAGTCATTCAACTCGCACATGACGAAGAATTAAGCATTACTCCATAATATTCATACATGAATGTAATACCGCTATTTGTAAATGCTTAACTGCGTCATTCAAAATACAAATTCAAATACTTCAGTTAGTATCAGAATACTTTGAGATGCTTCATTTAAACACAGTTCATTCACTTTCAAACCCAGATTCAACATATGATTATAGCGATGGAGAATTTCCCTAATTGAGAGACATTTTTACCTTAAATTTTACACTTCCCTAATTAATTATAATATAATTACATTAAACATGGAATATTTTAGCAATATCATGTAATATTTTTTATGTATACCATGTCCTGGGGCATTACTGCTCCTGCTTGACTTGGCTTTGGTGCTGAGAAACATGCCAAGTTTTCCGGTACCCGTCGCTCGAGGGCACGAAACTGGACGCGGGTGCCTGCAAGTGCAAGGCCGCAGCCTTCAGTGCGCATCCTGGCGTTGGTGGGTGAGGTTGTAGCTGGTTGCTTGAGCTGGAGAGTGACTGAATCTGATACAATACGCTGCTCTATCGTGCAAATTTATTGAATATATTCATGCTAGCTCATGTCATGACGATAAAAGCACGATTATACAACGGATAGAATGAAAATGGGCAAAAACGCGTAACATATAAATGATATAATTGGTAAACTTGTTTTAGGAATGAATCCCCGCCATAGTTATCGCTAGCGTCTTTGACAAGACTCGTTTAACTGTTGACAACAGATGTATACCACAGTATGCTTCTGTATATAACTGTATACAGATGTATACCACAGTATGCATTTGTATATAACTGTATACAGATGTATACCACAGTATGCATCTGTATATAACTGTATACAGATGTATACCACAGTATGCATCTGTATATGACTGTATACAGATGTATACCACAGTATGCATCTGTATATGACTGTATACAGATGTATACCACAGTATGCATCTGTATATAACCGTATACAGACGTATACCACAGTATGCATCTGTATATAACTGGATACAGACGTATACCACAGTATGCATCTGTATATGACTGTCTACATATGTTTACATACGTCTGTATATAAAATATACCCCGGATATCAGAGATATGTAGACAAGAGAATTGATGTGAAAAGTACGTAAATAAAAGGCAGTAGAGATATGAAAAAAATATTGAAGGTATATAAGAAAAACATATAGAAGGATATAGAGTATATAAGCTAGAAATGTTCAATAGATATGCAAGAGTGGCCCCCTCTCCCCCTCGTGCCACCCTCAGATGGACGAGGTTCTAACACCGATGCATTATTTGCTCTCGTGTGGGTCATCCTGACCTAGTATGGAACGGTACAAGAGTGTATCAGTGCTACGCGCCGAGAATGTTTCCCTATTTGGACAATATAACCCACATATTATTATGAGTGATAGCTAGTTTGTCCTAATCAAGCATGTCCAATAAACTCCGACCATTTATGTCCAACCATTTTTCTTTCTCGTTCAATTTCTTGTTTTCAAGCTTCAAATCGATCTGATAGATTTTGATTTTACATTAGAAATTATTATTATTGTTTATTTTGGATAATTGGATAATTAATTAATTTGCGCATAACGCATAATTTCGGTCATAATACTACACCAATCCATAAAAAACTGTTCGTGAAGAATTATATTTGTGAAAATTCATGCAAACACGAAGTTCACGTATGCAAGTTCTGGACACCATAAAAAAGGTTATGCCAAGTTTAGATCCAATGATGGGCTTCCGGAGTCCATGACTGTAAAAGAAAAAAGCTGCCCATCATTATGTATATAATCATTATTGAATATTGTAGTATATCATTATGTATATAGTCATTATTGAATTTTTGTAGTCTATCATTATGTATATAATTATTATTGAATATTGTAGTATATCTTTATGTATATAGTCATTATTGAGTATTGTAGTTTATCATTATGCATATAGTCATTATTGAATATTTTATTATATCATTGTGTATATATAATCATTATTGAATATTGTATTATATCATTATGTATATAATCATTATTGAACATTGTAGTCTGTCATTATGTATATAATCATGAATGCACATTGTAGTCTATGCACCGCACTGACTTTAACTCAATGCTGCATGCATAGCGCTATTTTTACAACAAAAACACGTACATTTACATCATAAACCTAGTTCATGTCGCGCTAAAGCGCTAGTCGTGTTGACAACATGGACATGCTCTCTTATGCCTGGTGCTGGAAAATTACGAGATTTAATTCTAATGCGTCCGTGTTCCGCAGGTGGTCGAGGCTAAAGAACCGAGCAATAATGTCAACGGCACCAGAAGATGACTCAACCGCACGGCTGTGTTCGCTGCAGCCAATCTCACCTAAAATCAAGTCGCAGAATTTTGATCTCAATCACCGCCCTTTAGGCCGGGAAAATGGCAATACTGACACAGAGGTGCCATCATGTAACAGACTTGATACTGACCAATCAGAGTCGTTATTTACCAAACAATATTTTCCAGCATGCAACGAACTGATCAAATAACTACTGATGTAGAGCATATTCCGCAAGCTGAAATCTTCTATTATTGTCGAAAAAAGAACTTGCATCGTATAAAAACTGTGTTTTGAAAGAAGTGATCTCCAAACAATTCGAAATCAAGAACTTCCACAAGCACTCAAAATATTCATTTTCGTCCTGTTCAATGTCTACAAGTGCAATGGTATTTATCATCAAATTGTTTAAAGCTCTCTGAAGGAAACAAAACTATAGCCAATAGCTTTTCGATAAGCATTGAGCATTCTTCACTACGTACTGATTCACGGTTAGTTCTAAACTGGCGCCTTACTTGCTGGCTGCTGCAACGGCTAATGCACTGTCCGGATGGGGGGTGCGGGAGGTAGACCCCCACACACCCCCACATGGCGGGAACTTCTAAGCACGCTCGCGTTAAAAACTTGTGCCAGCTACTGAGCAGGGTAAGCCAATGGTGGCCTGACCAGCCACTGATTTCGTGTGTCATTTGACCCTTATATTTTTTTCCACGAAACTACTCAAAATAGCTCCTATTTGGCGGCTAAATAGAAGAGGCGGCCATTACGCATCTGATTCATCTCTAATCCGAGAGTCGCAACCGAAATCGGAAGGATAGCCGCGCGTAAATTTTGACAGGGTCGTGCCTCCCTCAGATGGACGAGGTTCTAATCCCGATGCATTATTTGCTCTCGTGTGAGTCATCCTGACCTAGTATGGAACGGTACAAGAGTGTATCAGTGCTACGCGCCAAGAATGTTTCCCTATTTGCACAATATGCCCCAGATATTATTATGAGTGATAGCTAGTTTGTCCTAATCAAGCATGTCCAATAAACTCCGACCATTTATGTCCAACCATTTTTCTTTCTCGTTCAATTTCTTGTTTTCAAGCTTCAAATCGATCTGATAGATTTTGATTTTATATTAGAAATTATTAGTATTGTTTATTTTCCTGCCTCTGCTCCCGCACGGACCACTTTGGGGCCGAAATTCACAAATAACGAGTTTATGAAGAATATGTCTGGATAATTCGCGGCTTGATGAGACTCGACATTACCTAACCTAGACATAAAATCTCACGGCTTGGATAATAATTTGCGCATAACGCATAATTTCGGTCATAATACTACACCAACCCATAAAGAAATTGTACGTGAAGAATTATATTTGTGAAAATTCATGCAAACACGAAGTTCACGTATGCAAGTTCTGGACGCCATAAAAAAGTTTATGCCAAGTTTAGATCCAAGGACGGGCTTCTGGAGTCCATGACTGTAAAGTAAAACGTTGTCTATCATTATATATATAATCATTATTGAATATTGTAGTATATCATTATGTATATAATCATTATTGAATATTATAGTATATCATTATGTATATAATAATTAATGAATATTGTAGTCTATCATTATGTATATAGTCATTATTGAATATTGTAGTATATCATTATGTATATAATCATTATCTAATATTGTAGTATATCATTGTGTATATAATCATTATTGAATATTGTAGTATATCATTATGTATATAGTCATTATTGAATATTGTACTCTATCATTATGTATATAATCATTATTGCATGTTGTGTCTACCATTATGTATATAATCATGAATGCATATTTTAGTCTATGCACTTCACTGACTTTAACTCATGCTGCATGGATAGCGCTATTTTTACAACAATAACACGTACATATACATCATAAACATAGTTCATGTTGCGCTGAAGTGCTAGTCGTGTTGACAACATGGACATGCTCTCTATGCCTGGTGCTGGAAAATTACGAGATTTAATTCTAATGCGTCCGTGTTCCGCAGGTGGTCGAGGCTAAAGAACCGAGCAATAATGTCAACGGCACCAGAAGATGACTCAACCGCACGGCTGTGTTCGCTGCAACCAATCTCACCTAAAATCAAGTCGCAGAATTTTGATCTCAATCACCGCCCTTTAGGCCGGGAAAATGGCAATACTGACACAGAGGTGCCATCATGTAACAGACTTGATACTGACCAATCAGAGTCGTTATTTACCAAACAATATTTTCCAGCAACATCTAAATCTACCACTCAAAATGAGAGCAGATTAATCAGATGCAGTCGATCAATCAGCTCATCGTTGGAAAATGTATTTTTTCGCTTTGGAAAAGCGGTGGCCACGCATCCATGTTTAACCATATTGCTCTGCCTAGCATTTACAGGCGTTTGCTGCATTGGACTGCAAAAAATTACACTTGAAGAACGGCCCTTCAAGCTGTGGATTCCTCAAGACTCCGACTTCATCAAGATTGCCGAGTGGCAGCAGGCAAATTTCCCCAATAAATACAGAATCCACTCATCTCTTTATGAGGCAGATAACGTTCTGACCCCTGAAGTTCTTCTTGACTTACTATTAATGCACGAAACTGTTAGCTCAACGGTGGCTTTGGTGCCTGATAATGAAAATTCTGTAAGCCCAACTGCACTCAATAACAGCGATGTAAGAAATTCTTCTGTGAAGGAAGCCACGAATGTAAGGCTGGTCACGTGGCAAGATGTTTGCACGAAGCTGCCAACCATCATGAGCTCTCCTTTATTTAGGAGGAAGAAAAGGAGTGCTACCAATAATTCACTCAATGCCCTTACCATGAGGGAGAGCGATGATGTCTTCCTTGTTCATAGAGATTCGCTTCAGGATCCTGTGGATTTGAGTTTTCACGGCCCCGATGCTTTTAGCTTTGGCATTGAAGAATTTTCATCTATTTATCATTCTCTGGCGAGTGTTTTTGTTAAGGAGAGCTGTGAAAAAGATCCTGAGGAGAATAGAATCAAGAGACAAGCTGATTTTGACTGGAGCAGCTACCTGCCTCGCGATGCCTACTGCGCCCTGATGGAGCAACTGGACACTGAGTGTTTTGAGCGCAGCATCTTGGAGATCTGGGGCTATGACCGCGACACTATTGAGTCCCTCACCCAAAAAGACATCATAGACGCCCTAAACTCAACTGAGACGAGTGCAGTGTATGGAGTGTCAACAAACTACGCCAGGTATCTTGGAGGCGTGACCAGGGATGAGTCCGGCAAGATTGTTGGTGCCAGGGCCATGACACAAACGTGGCTGTCCCGCATCAACTCGGAGAGGATAGTTCCAGGAAAGTACATTGACGATTACGGTACCGGAACCGAGATGGATGTGGATACTTTCCACTGGGAAGAAGCATTTGAAAAAAACCTCCTCAACGCATCTCTGTACACTACCTCAGCATTCTACTTTATGTCAGCTGGAAGCTTCAATAAAATGAGTCGCGATGCACTCGAAAGTGATCTCGGTTACGTCATTCCGGGTTATGTGATCGTCTTCTTCTACATCCAAATCATGCTGGGCAAGTTCAACGGCCTCGAAACGAGACCGTATCTGTCTATACTCGGGATCACTGCAGTGCTGCTGTCCCTTGTGGTGTGCTACGGCTTAGCTTCTGCTCTTGGGCTCATTTTTAGCCCGGTCAACAATATCCTACCGTTCCTATTACTTGGGTTAGGCATAGACGACATGTTTGTTATAATGCAATCCTGGAACAACCTCAGTGAGGAAGAGAAGCGACATCCCCTCAATGTACGTATCGGATATGCCATGAAACATGCTGGGGCTTCCATAACAGTTACCTCCGCCACCGACATTGTGGCTTTTGCCATCGGAAGCACCACAGCGCTGCCTGCTTTAAGATCTTTCTGTGTGTACGCCGCCATTGGTATAGCCGCTGTGTTCTTCTTCCAGGCAACATACTTTGTTGCTTGGTTTACATTTGACCAACGCAGGATCGAGAGTCGCAGGCACGGTATTATCTGCTGTTACAAAGTCAGCGACTCGTATAAAGTCAACCAATGCAGTCAACGTGACTTGTGCCAGACATTCTTCGGGGGAGTTTATTCTCGAGTCCTCCTGCACAAAGTGTCCAAAGCCATCATTCTGCTGGGCACCGCTCTCCTTTTCTGCGCCTCTTGCTGGGGATTTTCTAACCTAAAGCAAGAATTTAACCCTGTGTGGTTCCTCCCCCAGAACTCATATTTTTACAAGTACATCATGAAAAGCACCGAGTATTTTCCGTGGGCTGGAATAGATGGAGAATTTTACCTAGGCAACATCAGCCTGCATGAGCAGCTGCCGGAAGTCGAAGACTTCGTTAAGACCCTAGAGCAGAACCAGTACATTGGTTTCATTGACTCCTGGTACTCCAGTTTTAAAAGGTAGGTTCATTGACACTCTTGGCCTCTCTATTTAGGACGGCGTTATAAGGCACTCTAGTATTGATACCAGTGCTGCTTCTCATCTTTGCTTGCGTGCCCTGATTTTGTAGTCTATTGACAAGACCACAAGATTGACGTGAGAAGTTTTAATCACGTTTATTACAATTTTACATACGTATGTTGTGCATACCTCCATAATTTATGCTGCCATGTGGGCAGGTACTACGAGGCCCAGGGGTACACGGTCCCCGACCCTGAGGGTCAGTCGTACGATGCTTTCCAGGAGGACCTGAGCACCTTCCTCTTCTCGCCGTTAGGAGCGAAGTACCGCGACAGGAACTTTGTGTTCGACGGAGACCTGGTCTGCGGCAGCCCGGCGCCTCCCGTCACCGCATCCAGCTTCTTCTTCAGGTGGAGGGCTGGTGATCAGGATGGATGAAGGGGCTGAACTTTCAGTTGAAGACCAAATAATCGGTGATAGGAAGAGCCATCAGTAGGAGTCCCGCAGAATCAGTAGTACATTACGAGCTGGGGTCGGTGGCAGACGGGAATTTATCATGGTTTGCAGGCAAGCGCATGTGTTAGTTAATTTATTCAGACGAAGAGACTGAAGCGAGTGGTGGTCGAGTTTTTGTGGCTTAGCGATGGCTCGCGAGGTGAGAAAATACCAGACAGAGACTGAGTAAATTTCAAGTGTGATGGTATAGTGGTAATAGTGATGTCCTCTGAGAGATGCCACAGTTTATGGCAACCAAAGATTTCAGAATACGCAAGTTGCCAGTAGTCTTGGAGGCTGTGGCCTCCTAGCGGAGATAAAAAAGTGGTTGTCTTGCATAACTTATAGAATTTTAATTTTTATTTTTTCCAAGTGCAATGAGAATGTTTCATTTCGCGGCGGAGATGCGTGTTCTTGAAAGGGAGTATCGTGGTTGAAAAGCGTGACGGAAGAGGTGCACAGAATCAGGCCAGATTTGGGCGCCGGACCTGTCAAGAATATCGGTAAAGGGCTCTTTGAGGTTTACGTACGTTCACTGCTCACCTTGTCACCCCTGCAGGTACCGCATACTCAACACGACGCAGGAGGAGCGCGCGGCGATGAAATCGCTTAAGGTGGCAGCGCATGAGAGTAGTTTGCGAGGCGTAGTCGCCCCCATCTCGCCCACGCACATTGGCTGGGAGATCGACGAGATCGTCGAGCAGGAGCTCTACCAGAACTTGGGGCTTGCGCTCCTCGCCGTCTTTCTCGTGACACTTGCGCTCATCGCTTCCTTTGTCCAGGTAGGAGGCTGCCAAGAGGCTGAATCAGGCCTAGAGCATCAGAATATCAGGGTATCATCGAATAATGGCTTTTATAGCGCGATCCTGGTAGAGCCTCTAATAGGAGTTAGCAGTAGTGTCTCCATTATAGTAACGTCTCTGCTGTGAGTTTTACTAGTGTCACTCCATCACAACCTCAAATGGGAGTTACAGATGGGGCACCCTAGTTGGACCGCGAGCAAGGTTGTGACATCGTAAACCTGCTCCAGTCTATAGTAGCTGTTCTGCAAGTCTGAGACAAATAAATTTCCTCTTCAAGCCACCTCAGTATGACAATTGTCTTAACAAATTACGCTTGAAGAATCTCTTATCCTCAACATCTATCGCAAGAACCTGCTGGTGCGGCTGTGTATGGCCATGACCTCCTTATAGCCCCCGCAGAGCCTGCTGGTGCTGCTGGGCGTGGTCATGACCTCCTTATAACCCCCGCAGAGCCTGCTGATGCTGCTGTGCGTGGTCATGACCTCCTTGTAACCCCCTCAGAGCCTGCTGGTGCTGCTGTACGTGGTCATGACCTCCTTAATTATTACCCCCGCAGAGCCTGCTGGTGCTGCTGTGTGTAGTCATGACACTCGTAGACGTGTTTGCCCTCATGCACTGGTGGGGCCTCACCATCGACAATGCCTCCAGCATCGACATGGTGATAGCCATCGGCCTCTGCGTGGACTACGCTGCGCATTTGGGTACGTGAAAATGTGGGTATTGCTGCGTACCCATGACAAGGGCATGGCCGTTTGGTACGAATACGTGGGGTATACAGGTACCAGGAAGCCATCAGATTACGCTATCCGCAAAACTGTAGACTTCGTATCATTAACCGAACCAATAGAACACTTTTGAATTTCAACAAACGGTTCAAAAAGAAGTGGTGTTTTGGCATCATGGCCACGATCGCTCTCAGGTGATTGATGGTAAAGAGTATTGTGGATGTTGGGTCGAGGTGCTCATTCAGGGGGAAAGTAATAAATCACCTGTTGCAAGAGTATTGAAAATATTTTCCAGCAAATGAAGACAGATTAGTACCAACGTTACGTTATAATGAATCCTTTCCCATCTAATAGCTATCTTATTATTTTGCCGTCAAGCATGATTTATGACCTCCTAACAAATGGTGATGGTCCTGTCTTGCCAATTGCTTCACGTATTCATGACCCTTTGTATCCCTGAAAGAAACGTTTTTACGAACCTCGTCTTCACCGCAGGTCACGTGTTCATGACCTGCCAGGGCACCCGCGACGCCCGCGTGCGGGAGACGCTCGCACGCATCGGCCCCGCGGTTTTAAATGGCGGGTTCAGCACCTTATTGGCCTTCTGCTTCTTGGCAATCTCCGACTCCCACGTCTTCAAAACATTTTTTAAGGTCAGAACTTCAATGAAAAGTTTCTTCATCCACTTTTAGAAGGACCAACTTATGAAGTCTTCTAATACCATCACTCAGCCTAATCATCTCATGCAAGCAGCATTCTGCAACTTTATACAAAAGGTTCCAGGCCCTTCTTTAAAAAACTATTTCCTTAAGATTTATATAATTCGTCAATTGCGACCTACTTGCTATGCACTACAAAAATATAGTGGTCCATTTCAATCGACATTCAAACGTAGAAAAAAATAATGCCGCAATCTATTAATTGTCCCCTATCAAATGTTAAAATTAAACTGATAAGCTTCTTCATATGTGTACCGCCTCATCCACTGGTAGACTAGAAGGCGGAGGTGTGTGTTTGTGTGGTAATAAATTACTGCGTTGTAACACAGTTGCTGCTGAGGTTGGGTACACACTGAGTAGCCTAGAGAGACCCTATAAGCTGCGCAGTCTGTAGACCTCAGCCTAGAGACCCTATAGAGCAGCAACATATACTACATTTTTAGTACTCATGTTCATGGCAGTTTAACAAACAAGGGCTGTGAGGTTTTACCCAGTTGAAATGTAAATAAAATATGCAAATAAGTTAAAATATTTTATTGATTGTTGATCAGAGACCAACATCGAGTCAAGAAGTATAGACGTTTGTCGCACCGCAAGCCTTTAAGATTTGTCAATACTGTTTCCTACAGATAGTTTGAAATGAAGGCCTTTTCCGATAAGGTAAGGCCCAGGATAAGGTAATAATGAACTAACTTCATTCATTTTATCAACGACCGCCAGGTGTTCTTCGGCGTGTGTCTTTACGGGCTCTTCCACGGGCTGGTGTTCCTACCTGTGTTGCTGTCCCCGATTGGACCGAAGCCTTACGTTCATCGACCAATCACAGGGCGACACGCCAACGATACACCAATGGCTGACCTCAGAAGAGGCTGAGCAAAAATTATTGAGAGGTTTTGAGAGTAGGCATATCGGAGACATAGAGCGCCTAAACCCGTGATATACGTTTGACTCTAATACAAAGCGTAAGCATGAAAAATTACCGTACACTCCCCGCGCATGACAAGACCATTAGGCCGGTTGGATGTGTACCAAATCCAATCATGTACCTGGAACCAATGACATAATCTACATAGATGTTGTTGACAATTATGATGATTACCAACCATGACTAATTTCCTACCAAATAATTAGCCGTTCTAGGGTAGTTTGCGTGCTAAGTTGGTGATTCATGATTAATTGGTAGCGGTTAAAAAAATTGCTCAAACGTTTGGACTGCTTTGAAAGTCAACCATATTTCACCAAGGTGGAGGTGCAGATGCAGATTTCTTTGCGAATTGTTCATTGCGAATAAATTGCATTATAATCGTAATAAAGTTCAAACATACAGTGACTCGTGACATCTTCCATCACATTATGCCTGGTAATGAAGTAACCCTTTCCTTACCACACCATGCAGATACGTAGGGAAATATTGAGAGAGCCTCCACGGAAATCCGTTGCAGGTGCTGCCAAACTCTTGAGTGTGGCGTTATCCTCTTTCATCATTGTTTTCTATTATCTTAATCGTTGTGCTCTCTATTGAAAGTTTTCTTGCCACGTCAGTTACCTAAGATTTACTAGTTATAAATTTCTGCTCTGTAAGAACATTTTGCGGACATATGTTATGCCTGCGTGCTACGAGAAACTTAGAATTCGTCGTTTCTCGTCGCCGTTGTTGTAATTAATCGTGGATCACGTAAATCCCTTGAGCCATGAATAGATTTTCAAAATGTTCAACACTTGCCCGCTAGCTTTCGCACATTCAACACCTGCACACTAGCCACCACACATTCAACACTTGCTCACTAGCCTCCACACATTCAAAACTTGCACATTAGCCTCCACACACTCAACACTTGGTCACTAGTTTCAACACCAGGATGCATAAATCAAAAATAAAACGCATTTATTTTTGTATAGTGTATTATTTAATGAAACATTTTGATCGAAACGTCGAAATACGTTGTGCCAATGCACGGCAGTTTGCGAAATTTCTCAACAAGACTATCGTTTGGATGCGGGAATTTGGATGAGGAAATTTCGGCACAAAATCCGTTTCTAAAATTTATTGAACAAATTTTTAATGAACTTCCGTGCAAAAAATGTCACTTCCTGTAGCAGCAAAAAGGTGGGAATGATTTCTGCATTCAGAACCTGAAAGAACTTAAAGGAACGTTTCACTTACTAGCATAAATAAAATTACATCGAGTCTGGGCAGAAAAAATTTAAAGTAAATCAAATTATAATCAAGTTTCACTTAATTTGTAAATTTTTTACTCGAAGCGAAGTAAAACATACCAAAATTATGTGATATAAATTACTTGTCGTCGTGAAAAGGATTTTAAGCTTGACTCAAATTAAGCCCGGTAAAGTAAGCTATGACCGGTAAAGTAAGAGCATCATTGCGGTGTGAAGAAAGTGTTACTATTTGAACAATATGACCAACTACTTTTTCTGAGTGTAGGCTTGATTGACTTATTGGAGACTTTGTGACGTTTATCAGTGTACACAGAACATGTGTGACGTATTTAGATTTTTCTGTATATAATTTTACTATATAATTCAGTGATTTTATAATATAATATATAATATTAGGTTATATAATATTATACTATATATATTACTATATCATAAAAAATTCTAAAATATTTATGTATAATAATTAATAATTATTAATAACATATTTAATATTCAATGACCAGCCAACAACAAAAAAACAACAAACAAACCACTTTCTTCTTCTTACTTGTCGTCTCAGCTCGGTAGGTATTCCACATCACGCGAGGCTGTGCAGTTCAACAGCAACGCATAACTGCGCCCGACCTGCAGCGTCTGACGCGTAGCGTCGGGGGCCTCTAATTTCTTAAAAGGTTGACTTCAATAAAACATTTCTTCCTTATGCTACGATGAGCTCTAAAAATCATGCAATATATGAGCCAAAACTTTGTTGATGTTTAAAGGCAAGATTATGCGCCTCGTGACTTATTCGATATTTCTATCTGAACCTGAGGCCAGGGATTCGTGGACTAAATGCTCGAGGGATAAGTACCCAGTTAAAATTTAGGGCAGGGAATAGAGCAGGCCGTCGCCGGCTGCAGAGCCGACGTAGGGACGCGACAGAGCCGCGATAGAGCAGAAATGTCCGCATTAGAGACGATATCGCCAGCCGCGTAGCAGCGCTAATTCACCTCTGAGTACCTGTCTAGGTGTGCTCTGTCCTGCCGACACGCAGCCCTCACTGAGCACCGCCTGCTCAAACCAGCCCAACGCCCGCTCTGGGGCGGCTCTGGCAGTGTATGCGGCAGTTACGCGTTACCGTTTGTCAACGATTTAAAAAAATTTTCCTTCTTTCTCTGAGCTCACCTAGACTTCTCTCTTGCAATGACAGGTTGTATTGGCATTGGTTTTTGATATTCATATCGTATTGACATTGACAACGGCATTTAGAAACTAACACATTTAATTATCGAGGAAATATACACATCAAACTACTCACCGCAATGAACTATCTGAAGACGTCGACGGCAGCTCCGAGAATCGAACGCAGACCCTCCGCGTCGTAGCCTACGCCTGTACCACCTTGGCTACGCGAACACCTTACCAGCCTAGGCTCTATGTACTACTTTAACTATAATACGGATGCCACATTACTTTTACGGCATTACGTTCAATTATCCTTCGTTGAACTTGAAAGATATTATTCATAATGCACTAATTTCAAGAAATGATGATCGCCATTCGTATGATCCCGTCAGTTAGATAAAAAAGAATATTAGAGCTAAATTTGTTAAGTAAATTATCCTATTGCATTAGCTTCATGTCATTCGATAGTTTGATAGGAAAATTAACAACGCACAACGCACTCAAATCATTAGTCTGCTGAAATAGCAAGGTCTCTTAGAGTTTTAATGCAAAGAAAGCGCCAAAATAATTCACCATATCTTCGATGAAAACGTTTCGGAGACCAGCACCGAAAGCAGGGAAATTCGATCAATTTATAAACTGATGATGGTGCTGGCTTACACATTTTCATTGAAAAAATGGTGAACTTCCCTGGTATTTTCTTTGCTCTAACATTTACTGTTATAAACGCGTTTTCTGTAAATCCAAGTTAGAAAACTTTCTCATGGTAAACTGATTGATATCTCGCTTTGGCAACGCGTGAATGACCGTAAATGTTTCTGTTTGCGTGTTAAAACAGGAAGAGCATATAAAATTCTTACGTAATTCAAAGTATTATAATACTGGCGTGAAATAAATATCATAACTGGCACCAGAAATTGACCCAAAATAACGTACTATGCGAATGAACTAGATGAAGGATGAAGTTCATTCTCCCGCCACTAGCTCTTTCCAACCCCTACCCCTCCTCCCTCTCTCAATGCCCCCCAATGCACGGCCTTCTTAGCTGCTCTGTTCAGCTCCCTGCCGGGCAATACAAGTACCAGCGCTGCAACGGCACCGAGTTCCGGCCCTGCGGAGCTGCTAGAATTTTATCTCTATATCAGCCATGGCGCAGCGCAGTTTTAGGGATAGATGGCCGGTTATAGTTTCACGGCTCCATCCTGCTAAAGCGCGACCAGCCCGGCTAAACCCGGCGCCGGTCTCGGCTCAAAATTTTAACTGGGTAAGACACCATCTGTCTAGAGAACTTATCTTTTTACGGGGCGGCAATACATGAGAGTTATATTAGAGATATAGGCTATGACGACGACCGTTTAACCGGAGTAACTCTTAACGAATGTTACATGGCTGCGTACTTGTCAGTTACTGGGGCTTTACTATGGTTCCCAGCCTTTTTTATAGAATCATGGCTTCCGCCCACTGCTGAGGTCTTGATCGCGTGATGTGTCACGTGATATTAACCATGCTGACTCAGGTCTAATACTTTTCCATCAATCTCTACCACGTCTACTGAATATTACATCTCAATAACAGATCATCTAATCCTAGAATATAATTAGAATGATACGCCTGCTTGACACCGGACATTAACAGCATTTATGAAGACATCTATCTGGGCTTGAACAAGATATGTTGAATGGATTACTTTTTACGTGGTGCAATATTCGTAGTTTCCCGGAAAACAAGTTTCCTACTTAATAACAAACCACATCACGCAAGATTTCACGAGTGATTAGCACAATGTCATGAGCACCAACATGAAGCATAGGTTGTAATTTAACACAGCATCTTGTTAATAATTACCCAATTAGTTATAGTAATTATCATGCGTCACCTTCGCCCGAATACCTGACTTCCTCCTGGGAATTTCATCTCATAACAAAAATTTCTTCCATTATTCGTAAGCCTTTTAATCGGCTATAATTTATTAATGATTGGAGTTCGGTATCCCTTGTAGCTTGAAGCTTTCGATAAAATAATTGACCAAAAAATGGAAATAATTATAATTATGCACGGTTTTGAAGTAAAATGAAGCACAACTACATTGTAAATCACCAAAATATATTTAACAGGTACTGTAATACATGGTGCATAATTTAGTCTATTCTGCCATCAGCTCCTATGAAAATAGGTTTGTCTCTCTTCAATAATTATTATTCACATTGAAAATGAACCCGTCCATTGACGTCGCTGCAGCTTGTAATGGATAACTGAAGTAAGTTAAGAGTGGAGCGATGCGTTCACTATTGAATCGTGTGATTGAACTTAACTGAGCATTTCAATCACAGGAACTTAGTCATTAGCTAAGTAAACTCATTAGTCAAGTCAACTGACTTCTTTTTACCAGACATTTGAGAAATTCAGTACAGTGCTGTATGAAAATGCGATAATATCCATGATTGAAGCGTTCAGTAAATATTCTTGAGTTACCATCAAATAAAATGCTATATGATTAGTCACAATAACAATAGCAAATGATGAACATTACTAAAAAATAATTATTATTTCGTATCAAAAATTTGTTTTACAGAAGAATAATTTTCGCACTGATCACTGTAAAGAGTGCTCACGTGCTCAATTGAATTTTACTTGAGATTAAGGAATAATATTCATCAAATGAGATCGGTCGACCACGTCTCCGCATGCTCAGTGGTAGGAGCAAAATATCTGTGAAAAAAAAAAATAAAATTTTGTGACTCGTACGAGTCTTTATTGGCATATGATTAATATTGCGCAGAATTTGCACCTACGTTTAATCAGGCCGTTATCGTTAGCACTGCTAATTGAATTGTCTCCAACTGAAGCATTCATTTTTTTAGTGAATATGTGTTGTGTCTCAACATACCTACTTTATATGAATATATGGTTTGTCTCCACTTAACCTATCTGCTTTATATGAATACATGGTTTGTCTCCACTTGACTTATCTGTTTTATATGAATACATGGTTTGTCTCCACTTGACTTATCAGTTTTATTTGAATATATGGTTTGTCTTCACTTAACCTATCTGTTATATACGAATACATGGTTTGTCTCCTCTTGACTTATCTGTTTTATATGAATATATGGTTTGTCTCCACATAACCTATCTGTTTTATATGAATACATTGTTTGCATCCACTTAACCTATCTGTTATATATGAATACATGGTTTGTCTCCAATTGACTTATCTGTTTTATATGAGAGAACCAGATCCTAGATGAATCTGCAGCCGGCAAAGGATTTCTTGAATAGTGTGCATGTGTACTGTACCAATCAATTTCCATTATACGCCGGCTTTCGATGTTAAANTTCCATCACATTATGCCTGGTAATGAAGTAACCCTTTCCTTACCACACCATGCAGATACGTAGGGAAATAGTGAGAGAGCCTCCATCGTTTGAGAAAGCCTCCACGGAAATCCGTTGCAGGTGCTGCCAAACATTTGAGTGTGGCGTTATCCTCTTTCATCATTGTTTTCCATTATCTTAATCGCTGTGTTCTCTATTGAACGTTT